GGTGAAACAGATCACCAGCCCAGGTGGGATGCATGAGACAAGTGCTCGGGCCTGGTGCACTGGGAAGACCCAGAGGAATCGGGTGGAGAGGGAGGTGGGAGGGGGAATCGGGATGGGGAGTACATGTAACTCCATGGCTGATTCATGTCAATGTATGACAAAACCCTCTGAAATGTTGTGAAGTAATTAGCCTCCAACTAATAAAAATAAATGAAAAAATAAAAAAAGAATCCTTGGACTTTAGACCACAGCAGTGTGGGGAATCAGCTCGCAGTCCCAGATTCTAACCCATTTCCCTCCTCTTCCTACCTGGTTTTGCTCTTTGTGATGAATGATTTCATGAACATGTATGTGAACACTCTGCCTGCACATTCAACATTCAAGCAGCCCTAGGGAAGAGTCCCATACAGGGCTCAGGGGCACACTTGAGATTCTAGAGTCCTGGGTAGTGGAGTGTGATCTGGAGGTGGGGAGGGCTAGTAAGCGATGAGAGGGTACCTCCCTTCATCTCATCCTCAAACAACAGGAAGGAATGAGATGCAGCCAGAGAAGGGCCAGAGCACAGCCCTCTAAAAGGGAGCCCAGAAGTGGGCCCCTCTTACTACACCTCAGAAATCTCTTCTGTCCTTGTCAACAGTGAAAAGTTGTGTGAGTTCTTTAAATTATGTGGGCCTGGGTTTCCTGATCTGTAAAAGGGGTTACGAAGCTGCTGCTATTGCTACTATTCAAGGTTGTTGAAAGGTCTAAATAAATTTAACAGCGTATGTGAGAGTGCTTTGTAAAAGTGCTATATACTAGAAATATACTGTTATTATGTTGGGTTTTTTTGGTTTGTTTTAGATGTTACTAAAATCAAAAGGCAAAGCAGCTGCTGGCTGTGTACATGCTCTGGTGTTTTCATTAAAATATAACTAAAGAAAAAAAAACAAAACTATGGAAAGCTGATGGCAAAGGTTATTAAATATCCGTTAGGTTTTATTTTTCGTAAATCTGCTTCCTCATTCCTTCAGGTCCAGACTGATTTCTTTCAAACCCCGAATTTGTGGACATGTGCTTGTTTGCATAGCTGACACAGGCCCCAGACTGACAGCGGGTAAGAGACATTACTCTTCGGCTGTAAGGCAGGGCAGCTCCTGCATTAAGCAGGAAGCAGACTGATATCTCATCCTTTCAGCTGGCAGAGAATATGCAGTGCACCTTTGTGGCAAAAGCAGGCGACTGAATGAGTGGGGTGTGCAGAGGAATGAATTACACCATGAGCTTCTGCATCCATAAAAATGAGGCCGCTCTAGGGTCAGGAGGGTGGGTGATGTGTCACGGAGGCAGGTTAAACGGATTCGACCCTCCGGCTCACTGATTTGAAGCTGACAAAAGGGGCTGTGCTGTGGCTCTGGGCTCAGAATGAACTTACCATTGTCTCTGGCCATTTTGAAACAAGGAAGTCTCTGGGTTTTTCTTTCTTAGGATTGTACTTTCTTTCTTCTTTTAAAAACACCGTTTCATTCCTGTGGGTGCAGAAATCCAAATCGGTTTTATTTTCTGGAGTTGGGATTTTTGGTATGTTTGGGGCAAACCCCCTCCCGCCTTTAGCATCTCATTAAATAGAAACAAATTAGGCTATCTTTGTTTTTTTTTTTTTTTTTTTAAGCTTTTCAAAAGCAATTACTTCCCTGTCATTTCTAGACACTCAGGCAGAAGAGTCTGCCTTGATTACCCATCCTTCCTCTCCCCTCCCCCCTTTCAAGTCCTCTGGCTTTTGCACTGCTAGGGAAGGATTCAATTAAATGAAGTGTCAATGGAGCTACAGTGGTTTCAGGTCAGAAACGTCAGTAAAAAAGCCGTGGAGCTGTGCTGCCCTGTGTATGTAAATGTGTATATTTATACTAGGAATGTCAACTTTCAGGACTCTCCTCCTCTGCTCTTCCCTGATCAAAGATGATTGCCGAGGCAATTACTGCAAAGGAAAAGAAAATCAGGGCCTCCCCTTCATCCTAGTGCTGTCGGAGTTTAATTGCTTGGAATAATAGAGCAGGAATCCTTTTCTTTTGCACGTGATCATACTTAGACACACATGGACTTAAACGTGTAGCTGTGCTAGGACACAAACACACCTGATGGCGATGCAGGAAAACATTCACATTCACGCACCCTTTAGTCCCAATGCTGGTATATGTACACAGAGCTGCCTGTGACACACACACAGACACACACAAACACACAAAGTACTGCATTCTCGGGCTAATTCGATAAAAGCAATTTGTAGTATCTGGCTCACATTAAACACAACGTTTTTATCCTCCTATAAAAGACTTAACAATTTTATCCCTTTACACAAAGACACATCTAAAGTTAAAAAAAAAAGAGAGAGAGAGAGGCTATAGGGAGAAGTCACAGCATCACTGCAACTAAATACACAAATTCTTCAAATTGTTTTTGCTGTTTAATTCTTCTGTACACACAGTCACAGAAGTCCTAAGTCTCTGCACAAACACTTCACATGTTAAAATCCCTCTCAAGCCCTTTTTGCTTTGTTGTAGGCAGTTACAAGGACCAGTTGAGTATTCTGTGCTATTCACTGTGTTCTAGGCTATTCTGCTTTTGTTCTCATATGACATGAAGAGGGATTCTAACTTGCATCGATGAATACAAAGAGTGACATTCAAGGCAGAGAATCCTAGCTCTCTCTCTCTAATTAGTTCTGCTGTGCCCAGGCACTGGGAGTGTGTGTGGCTTCAGGCTGGGGTGAGTCCCTGGTCACGCTTAGAACACAGGCTCTAAAACATCCGCGTGGCAGATTTAGGTTTTCATTTCAGGCTCCCAAGGGCTGTCAGATTTTAAATATTATTATTTGGCCTAATTGGTTCTTCCTTTGATGGCAAGAGAGTAAAAGCAGGGAAAAAATACCCTCACAAACCTCATCATCAACACAAAGGCATAACACAGACACTTGGCTTTGTGTTACGACCACTACAAGTTTTTCTTTTTCTTTTTGTGGACTAAGTAGTTAACTGTGTCTGAAGCACTCATCCATCCTTTCTAGGACAGTTAAAAATACATACAGCCTTTCTGAAAAAGGAATTAAAATTCTTTTCACTGTTGTGACTGTTGAAATTAAAACAAATTTTTTTTTTCTGAAAATTTCAGAAAATGGTGGTAGTAGATAAACCAAGTGGAAACTAAAAAAGATCCCAAAGTACCTTGTTTTAGAGATCTGGAGATAAATGTGGCTATGTGGATGGCTACACCATTTGGTGATGCCAAAATATGGCTACCGCATCCTTGATAATGTCTCTGATGTTTTTGCTTGTTTGTTTTGCTTGTTCTGTTCCTAACATATTTCCAACTCCTTTCTCTAATGGCCTTCAGTGGCTCTTTACAAATGTGTAACTCCAGCTGCAGCCTCCTAGGTGCACTGATGTTGATGAACTTGGACATGGCTCAGTCCTGGATGTTCGATCTATCAGGGAAGGTGGAAACATAAATAATTACAATATAGGAGAAAAACCATAATAAAGGGGCACAAAACCTATTTGGGATGGGAGGGAATGACATTCTGTTCTGGAGGATGTGATTCCAGGGCCAAATTTATCCAGCAGGCTATCAGTTACAATGACCAAAACGGCCAAAGTTATCTTGCATTTGATATTAAATTTTCAATTTAATATTGAAATTCTCAAGTGATGGGAAGTCCAATGCCTTCTTCCAGAGGTTTTGTAAACTCCTAGGTTCGAGTGGCTTGAAGTCCAGCTCCTACTGTACATTTGATGTCACTAGTATCGAACTTTTTTTGGGCTGTCCCTTCCCCCTGATTTGTACCAATCCAGGTGTGGTACTTAGTACTACACAAGTACTTGGTGCTTGGTTTATATGAAACACTCACACAGGGTATGTGTGTATGTGAACACCTTGAATTTTGGAGGGACAGGGATTTTATATTACAGTATTCCTGGCCCTTTCTCAGTTTTCTCAAACTCTTTCCCTTCATTTCTGCAGCCTCTTCCCTCAGATGCTACCCCATCAGCTTATCTCTGCTGAAAGTGAGAGAAAGAGATAGCATTCTCTCCCTCATCCAGCCTGTCCCCTGGAGCCTCTCCCTGCTCCAGCCTGTCTCCACATACCCATTGTGCATATCCACTGTCCTTTAGAAATGCACTTACATCTGCAAGCACACATACACATATTCACACACACGCATAGTGGAGGCTTTGAGATTTGAGTGTTTTCCTTCTTCTTCCTCTACTTGTCTCTGAGGAGACTGATTTCCTCCTGTTAAGTACTGTGGAATCTCTTTTCTCTCCAACAAGGTAAAATCATTCCACACACAGTCACTCCACACCAAATGTGTCCCTGGCTCTGTTTTGTGTGGACACTGGGGACGAACAGTGGGAAACAAGCAAAGACAGTCTTTGCCCTGACAGGTCAGTTTTAGTTTCTAATACCATTTCCCCCTGTTTTTCCAGGAAGTCAAATGTATTTAATAAATGCTTGGTGAATGACAGTTCTCACTCTGCTTTCTTCTGTTGTCTTTTTTCTCCTTACCCCTCTCCACTAACCCTACGCTCAGGTGTAGTGTCCGACTTCCCCAATACCACCTGTCTAGTCCTGCTGCTAGAACTTTGAGAGGGGTATTTTTTCAAGTTTTTATTTTATACTGGAGTATAGCTGATTTACAATTTTGTGATAGTTTCAGGTGAAAAGCGAAGGGACTCAGTCATACATATACATGTGTCCATTTCCCCCCCAAACTCCCCTCCCATTCAGGCTGCCATATAACATTGAGGAGAGTTCCCTGGGCTATACAATAGGTCCATGTTGGTTATCCATTTTAAATATAGCAGAGAGTCCATGTCGGTCCCAAACTCCCTAACTATCTCTTCCCCACATTCTTCGAGAGGGGTATTTTTAAAGCTAACGTTTATTGTGCTCTTTTTTATGAGCTTTGCAAAGTGCCTTACATTCATTCTTTCATTTAATCCTCAGAAAAAGTCAGTGAGGTAAATAATATTACTTTTATTTTAAGCTGAATAAACAGGAGCTTTTTCAGCTGTTGCCTTTTTTCCTAAAGCGATTGTTTTCTTGCCATAGCTGTGCCTTACCTATTAAAATCCTACTCATCCTTCTGTGCCGTGCTGTGGTTGGTTGCTCAGTTGTGTCTGATTCTTTGCACCCCATGGACTGTAGCCTGCCATGAGGATTCTCCAAGCAAGAAGACTGGAGTGCGTTGCCATGCCCTCCTCCAGGGATCTTTCCAATCTAGGGATCGAACCCAGGTCTCCGGCTTTGCAGGTGGATTCTTTACCATCTGAGCCACCAGGGAAGCCCAAGAATACTGAAGTGGGTAGCCTATCCCTTCTTCAGGGGATCTTCCTGACCCCAGGAATCGAATCGGGGTCTCCTGCATGGCAGGCAGATTCTTTACCTGCTGAGCTACCAGGGAAGCCCACTCATCCTTCTGTCCAATCTCAAATTACATGATCTCTCCCACTTTTGAAATTCCACATCACTGTGTTTCGGCTCTGACTAACCTAATTCATATTTGTATTAAAAATATTTTTCTATCTATTAGACTGTAAGCTCCTTAAGGTTTAGGGTGGATACAGTTCATCTTCGGGTCCATTCAGAGGCTTGCAAACGGAGGCATCAGTAAATATCTTAGAATTAATTGAAATTAAATAACCATAGCAAATGCTTATGTCAAAAAGGAGCCGAAGGTCACATGAATTATCTGTACCTATCAGAAAGTTCAGAATACTGTCCTGGGTAGAGCCAGAATTCTGAAAGAATTTTGAATATTATATACTAACTGTAACGTTTACTCTTTGTCCTAAGGCCTCAAACTATTTAATGCTAATCTGCACTATAGTAGGAACAAAATAATACTGTAGAAGTAAAGAAACTGAAAATGAGAATTAAGCCAATTTAAGAATCACTAAATAGTGAGAAGGCTTACAACTGCTATTGTAAACAACTTAATTGTGTTTTCAGTACAGATAAATTTTGTACAACTGCCTATGTCATAATAGATAGAAGAGAGACCCTGCTCCAAGTGCTCTAGGTGCACAGCTAGTGGAGCCAAAGACAGTGGTTGTCTGTGCACGTGTCCAATTATTTTTCTTTCTGTCCACTGATAGTGAAGCTGTGACACAATGTTATGTCAAGGAAGAATCACCAAGAACTGGCATAGAATCCCTCAATAGGTATGAATGAGAAGGGATTATAGGTGTCTAGTCTATTTTGGTAAAGCTATAAAGTCTATTTTTCCTTCATGCACATAACCAATACTTTTATATAACTATAAACATACACACAGAAATAGATAAACCCCCTGGCTAATATAGGTGAAGATTTGAAGAAATGAAATGCAGAGTTGACACTGGAATGGAAGAGTGTTAGGAGGTAGAATATAAACAATAGGGCTCAATAAAGAGAAAATAGTTTATTTTTACTGAGGTTGTTACTTATTTGTTAAAAGTGGCTTTGGCTTATAGATTTTTACTGGTC